CTGTATGAATGATTTTAGTAAATTAATTAATAACTGATTAATCAAAATAAATATAAAACTAAAAAATTCTAAAAATAATTTTCTTCACATAATTATTATATTAAGGGAATTCTATTAGATAACGTTAAAAGAATCACCCTATGTGCATATTTATATATAAAATATATAAATATGTATTTACTTTTTCATTTTAATTTTATTTAGAAATCAATAACTAAAAAATGTAATTCAAATACAAATTAATAATTATAGTAAAAAATCTACGCGTTTAAACAGGTGAACTATAATAATAACACCATGTGCCTATAGACTTTTCATTTTACTTGATGGTTAGGGTCACTATTTAGCAAGGGTCAGTTATTACAATTTCTATATGCCAGCATTGTAGGGATCACCATGGGCGGTGTAAAAATAAATAGTATACAATCCCTGTCGCGCATCAAGTTTATTGATAAAAATATCGAACTAAAAGAGATGCATATTGTCCATTGAATCAGCGTTACATGAATAATAATAATTGAACAAAAACGCAGTTACGTATTGTGTAATAATAAATTATGCGAAATTTTGACACAATAGATTGCAATCAAAAACCTGCGACAAACCGCTCGATACATTTTTTCTCAATGTTTAAAAAACATCTGATGTGCTATTGTGCTATTACCAATGGATCGTAAACTCATTATACGCGCATACCATTGAACATGGTCCAGAGCTCTCAAGAAAGGACATGATCGTTTCTCCATAGTATTTCCCACCCTACCAAATCCAACATGAACACTGAATAATCTTCGGAATTAGTTTTGATTTCAAACAGTTTTCTATTAACACGTTATCATTTTAGAACTGTATTTGGCTCAATAGTAATTTAGTTGATGTGTATAATACTAATAAGATTTTTTTATTAAAATATGTCAGTGCAAATTGAAAGTGTCATTTTGAGCTATGGATTACTACGCATATATATATATATTATATCCGATGCAATTAGATGCTAAAATATAAGATCCGATAAAATATTCAAATAATATGGTTCAGTTCAGAATAGGTTTATGAGTTTTAGGAAAACTTCGAATCAATTTTAAAAATTAGAGTTCGTGGTGCATATCAATAACTATTAATAGAACATTGTATCTTGTAAATTTTTTGCATCGTTAAGTTCTGGAACAAACTGACTTTAAATGGCGAATTGAATAATAAACAATGCCAGTTATACATAGTTTATTTTAACTACTGACAGAACCCGAATAAACCGAGTTTTACAACAACTCAACAATTAAATGAATTTAAAATCACGAAAGGACCAGCGTTGATTTTTATAGAAGTATGTTTATTTTTAAGCTATTTGTTAGTTATTTTCAAAAATATAATTTTTAAACTATAAATTATAAAATATAACTTCAATTATAATTTACATGCTGTAAAATTCAATTGTAAGTCTACTGATATTTGATGATGGATTAACTGCAGTCATATTAGAGTTGTAAACTATAGGCTTAAATTAAACAATATAGCCTCATATGAGTAAACCAATATTATTTTACAACTAGGTATTTTATCCGTAGATTTAATGGATGGCGGCTCTAGCGTATTGTTTGTCTTAAATAGTATTAGTAGAATGGTGTATTCTTAATTTTATGGAATAGTCAAGTCTCACGAGTCCAGAAGAGAATAGAGTTTGCTGATTGACTGGTTCAACAAACGATAAGTAGCCTATTCTTCTTTTTGAGATGTATACAAAAATAACAATACATGTCATTTGTATACTGATAATCATCTTATTACTCCTACAAAATAGCTTTTTGATATTATTATACAAACAAATTGCAATTTCAATGCTTCTATCTTGATGCGTGCAGAATAATAGTTTTTGTTATTATTATAGATTGACGGCTTGGCATCCGGTAGCACATACCTTGATTATTGGCAACGTAAAATAGCCAACAATTAATATTTTTGGATGCTGCATCGATACGCTTTAAATATACTGTGTGTAAATATTCATCATTATTAATTTAACCTTTCATCCTAAATTATTTTATAATAGTTAATATACATAGTTTAGCATTTAATTTTTAAAACATAAAACACACTTGAAGACATTGTAAAAACCTTTAATATATATATAGTAGTTGTTTATAAATAACTAATGCCTTTGACAAAATGTTCACGAATTTAATATTTACGATCGTGACTTATATATACAATTAATAAGAATTCAACAAATCCAAACATAGTCACAACTTTTTGTATAATTTAGAATTTTTGTAGTATTTACTACTGCTCCAAAAGTCCCTTATTTTTATTATTCATAAATTTATTTGAAATTGGCTTACATTTTTTCATATAAACTTTGTCTGATTTTTGAAAATGAAAATTTTGTAATTTACCTTGCCTACAACAGTTATCAAGTTTAAATTAAAACTTTTTTTGAGTATTATTTGGATTACCTCATATCCGAAACACCTTTTATTTTTAACGCGCCTGTTACATCAAAAAATATCAAAACAATATAACATAATATAAAATATTTGTCTTTATTGTTCATTTATTAAGTTAAATAGAAACAATTATTCCAAATAACTAATTTATACAAAAACTAACAAATAAGATGTTTTTAAGCGTTTCTTTGCCAACAGTTACTATTTCATCATATTAATTTAACAACTTCGCCTGATTTGTCATTATCTACAATTTATTAGTGTATGTTAAGTTGCCTAAATACTATGATTTTATGTATGTAATTTAATGCCATGGTATGTAATCAATAAGTTATATTAATTTAATAGTTTAATTAAAAATAACTATGCCTATGTATAATTTTTTTTCTAAATTTCAATTTATAGGACACTGGTGTAAAATAATCTACGTAATATTACTGGTCAAATAAATTTTTAATTTTTTGTTTATAAAAAATAATAGAGCCATTATATTAATTCAAAAAGAAATATAGAAAAAATATATTCTAATAGTAGTAAGATAATAATTTATTAGAAACTTTAAAGCAAAATTAATCGAACTTTTTATCGAAAAATACGATTCTGCGTGAAATTTTCAGCTATCTTAAACTCTCTAGCTTTAAAATTAATTGAACTTATTGTTGGGTAGTCAGATAGTTTTATTATAGTTTTGATCAAACTATTTTCTTTTTGTGTGTGTTAGACAAAAACTGCTTTAATTAGTCATTTGATTTTCAGAAAGAAAAAAAGTATACCGCCGGTAAGACAAATTAAAATCGGCTCTATAAAAATGGAATATTCGTGTAAAATGCCACATAAAAAAAAAAAAAAATACGATAAATTAAAATCAATAGCTTCTTAACTATACATAGACGTTTAAAATATTCATCGATATACCTATTCCAACTAATGTAATTTTTTGGGAAATTACGAAATTAGATTAGTGGTAATTGCCACTAATACACAAATTTTTAGAGTAAAAATTTAAATTAACGTAGTAATGTTAAAGTTTCATGTAAATTTACGTATATAATTTATCGAATTATCAAACTGAAATTATTTTAGAATTATTTATTATTTACCCATTAACGAGGTAAAGTATTGTCATATTTACACAAGGTAACATGAGATTGAAATTTGAGCTTTATAAATAAATTTGTGTAATGATACGTACAGTATCTTTGATTAATTCTGACATTTACAATATTACATTGAATTAATATTATTAAGTAAGTAGCAAAGTAAGACAAATACCAAGACTTAAAGTTTTGGCATTATTATTAATCTTGCTTATGTATTACAATATTACCCTAACTAGTGATAGCTCAACATGTTTTTGGTTTTTCTTTTAAAAACCATTGTTTATCATTACTTGTTATTTATGTCTGTAATTTTTATGGTTTCATTTTTTCATTTCTACGGCCTCCTAAGAGTTTTTGTATTTCTATGGCCTCTTAAAAGTTTATGCATTTCAATAGCTTCTTAAAAGTTTATGCATTTCAATGAATTCATAAAAATGTATGCACTTTTATGGCATCTTAACATTTTTGCATTTATATGGCTTCTTAAAAATTTTTGTATTTATATGGTATTCCTAAACATTTCTGCATTTGTATAGCTTCTTTATATTTATGTAGAATTATGGCTTATTAATACTTTTGAATTTGTCAAATATTTCTCGAAAATTATCATCCAGCTTTCACGAACTTCATATCACTTAATTAACGCATTATAATTAAACTATATATCTTCAGATTTGTTTTAAAAGTAAAAAATTTAAAAGAAAAAACTGTTAGTTCTTTAGCTTGTAAGTATCTCCCTAAATCTGAAAATTTGTTCACGAGGTAATGCTTGTAGTTCAGGCCTATTTAAGAGGCTCAAACTGTTTCATAAAAAACATCCTTTTACTAAAAGAAATTTCACTAAACACTTTTTAGTCAAAATATTTTATGATAATGATATCAATCAGTCAAATGTCAAACTTGTAATTACCACGCCTAGTCACCACTATGTCATTTCCTGGCTATACTAATTCTTTTTTCATGTATTAACATGTATAATTTATATTAAAATTAGTATAGAAATTTTCTTTTTTTAATTTTTGGCAATGTTCCTTTGACACTATCCCTTTTGAAGGATTTTAGAACGTAAATGTAGCTTATTTATTTAATTTAAATAATTTAGCACATACTAATATTAAAATCAAGAACAGAAACTTAACTATTTTAGTTTCTTTCTGATAATGAATCCAGCATAATCATAATTTTACCAAAATTAATGAACTCAAATATACTTATTTCTCTAAAATATTTATAACAAAATTTATCCCAAGAGTAATTTTATTGTTCATATAAGTTATAAAGCATTTTATCCATTTATTTAATGAAGTATACTTTAATGAAAACAAGTAAAATCTTATAGGAAGTCAATAGTTAACAACAATAATAATCAATATTATATATAAATAACTAAATAAAAATAATAATACTAAATACAATAAACACTTTGATTTTATTACATAAAACTACTTTCAAGTAAAATTTTTTTATATTAGAATCATTTATATTTGTTAAAATTAAAAACAAAGTATAAAAATTAACCACTTACGTATTTAGTTTAAGTCACGTAAGATTTTCAAAGTATGAGAGATCATGCATGTCTGACAAAATTAAAAATATTAAATATCCATATCCTTTAACATTTCATTATAAATTAACATAACACATCAGACAAAAATAAATTAAAAATAAAAAAAATATTAGCAAAAGAAAATTTTTACTTTTCTATTGCTAAAATTTGCTAATTTAACTTAAAGAATGGTAAAATTGGTAAAAATTAATTTAATTAATTAATTTTACGATAATAATGTAATTAATTTTAAAAGTGCATAGAAATTGTCACTGAAGTAGCTCAACATTTTAATGGGCTACATTGTACGCCAACATCTGTACATAAACATTCTGAACAAGCTGCTGATAGTTCTGTGATTATTTTACCTATCATATACATTTTTCCATAAATATTACACCCAGATATCCTTAACAATGAAGTTGCTGAGTTATTATTCGAGTTTAATTTATTTTTTATTGGTTTAACAGTTAAAGGTTTTAACTCTGTGTGTGGATTAAACTCTGAAGGTTTGAAGTCAGAAAATTGTTTTTCGTCGGGTTTTAATTTATAATCTAAAAGAGATTTAACAGTTGATGAAAACTTGTATGAATTTTTTTGAAGTTCAACATTTTGTTTATTTTCAAGGTGCGAATTGAATCCCGGATATTTTAAACCAGTAGAAGGTTTAAAATCTGCTACAGATTGATATTTTACATCTAATAATGGTTTACCTTCATTTTTCTTAACGATATTTATTTTATTTTCAGTAGTTTTATTTAATCCAGCGAGTGGCTTTAATTCATATTGTAGCTTATTAACACTGAATTTTGTAATACGATTATCAACTACATCATTGTGATAATTTGTAATATTAACATTTTCCACTTTAGACTGAGATATTATGTGATTTGAATCGTCTGAATTTTTAAGAGGTAGTCTAGTGTTAAATTCTAAAATTGAAGAACCATTAATTTTCTCTACGTCATTTTTTGTTATTACACTATTATTTACTGGAACTTTAACATCAGCAGATTGAATAGTTTTATCTACGTCCTCGTCTGTCCGCTTCTCTATACTGAAATCTTCACTTGAAAATAAAGTTTCTTTTGTTGGTGATGCAATGGGCGGTTTTGTATTTTCATTGCTAAAAAGGAACGAAAACATACTTTCAAAACTGTAATCCTCATCCTCCATCGATTTTTCTGTAGTTGTAATTTTCGTATACATTAATGGTGTAGTGAACTTGACAGCATTTGTAGTATATATATTTGAAGGATTCTCAGTAAATGGCAATGAAGTTGTAATTCGTTTTACTGTCGTGGTTGTGGGCTTATGAGTAATTAATTTGGAAATAGTAGAAATTTTAGGGGTTGTGCTTAGAGTACGCTTAATACTAGAATCAGTTGCAGATTCAGTTAGAATTATGTGTTCTATGACAGGATTTTTAATTAAAGTAAATAAATTAAGTTGGGGTGTAGTTTCCGACATCTTTATTTGCTCAATATGACGTTCGGTAGTTACATTGTTTTCATAATTATCTGAAACGTAAAAAATTCAACACATAACAAAAGCGTAACATTTTATAATTAATTTAGATAATTATAATTAAATAGTTTTTATATTAATCCTAAATTCATATTAGTTTTAAAATTTAGTAACTTAAAATATTCGTTAAACAGCTCTTATTATTTTAAATTAATATTTTTAATATACTATTAATTTAAAACTAAAAAATATTAAACTCAAAAATCATTTCATTATACAAGCAGAACTTGTAAACTATTATTTTCAGAACCAGATTAAAAAATATTTGGAGATAATGCATCACCTTGCCGTAGGCCTGTGTTCACCAGAATCTCTTTTGAATGAACGTTACCAACTTTGATTTTTATCATAGTCTTTTTTTAATTAGCCTTGATTAGTCCTATAAGTTTTTGTGGAATGAGGAAATGTTCAACAATTTTGTAAATATTTTCCCTATTGCTACTATCATACCCCATTTTTAAATCCACAAAGAGTGTATGTAGTTCTTGATCGAATTCTCAGGTTTTCTGAAATAGTTGTCTTATAATAAATTTTGGTCTATTGTGGATTTATTTCCTCTGAAACCACCCTGATAATCTCCTATAGTGTTTTCCACAAAAGTGTTGATGCTATCCAGGATGAAATAAGATAGAATCTTGTAAGTTACATTCACTAAGGCTATACTGCTATAGTTGTTACATTCTTTTTTATCATCCTTTTTGTGTATAGGCATATTAATGAAATATTCCAATCTCTAGGTATCTCTTCAATATTACACATTTTTTCAATTAACTTGTGTATCATTTCTATCATTGTTTCATGAATACATTCTAGAATTTCGCCTTGTATACCATTTTTGTCAAGCTTGCTGACGAAAATGTTTACTATATATTATTTATTTTTTATTTAAAACATTTTTGTTATTTTTATTTTGTTAGACCTTAAGTGATAAAATATTGAATTTAATATTTTTAGTTTTAAATTAATAATAATTTTAATGTACTATTAATTTCAAATAAAAAAAAGTTCTGCTTGTTTAGAAAAACAAGCAGAAAAGTCTCTAAAAGAAGGGCTTTACAGTTTCAAAAAAGTATCACAATTCAAATACCTGGGTACAATGATCACCCAATCAAACAATATGGAGTATGAGATATTAAAAAGAATTTAAAGGCAAAAAATGTTATTACATCTTGGAAAACTTATTTAAGTCAAGAACACTTTCAAAGAAACTAAAAGTCCAGCTATACATCACGTTAATAAAATCTGTAGTACTGTATGGAGGGCCATATTGGACTGTAAGGAAAAGTTTTGAGTCTAAAGTAAAAGTTTTTGATAAAAAATGTTAAGAAGAATCTGTGGAGCCTATCTTGATCTAAAAATAGGGGAATGGCGTAAAATACACAATGATGAGATAAGTAACTTGACAAAAGGCGGTTATAGTAAATGAGATAAAAAAAAAAAAGATTGGAATGGGCAGGTTACACCTGGAATAAATCTGAAATTATGATAAAGACGACTTTACAAGAGAATTCAAAAGGAAAAAGACCCTAGGAAGGCTCCGAATGCGACGGGATGATTGAGTCAAAGAAGATGTAGCAGACTTCTGCCCGCATGAAGATGGCATATATTGGCGCAAAATCGTGATGGATGGAGTCGTTTATGCTTAGATGTGTGGTCTAAGAGGCCGCAAACAAAAAAAACCCAGTATAGAGGGGTCGCGGTACAGTCAGAACGTGGCATAGTTGAGTCAAGTATAATGATATCTAACAGTAATTAAAATCACTATCATAAAAAACGCTTCAATGCAAATCTGTAGATAGTGTTTAATTTTAAAAAATTGGTGGATTATTCCAAAAGTTACATGATCTCCTATTTCCTTGATTATAGTTTACAAGTTTATTGTTTATAAGTTTATATTATATATTCATAATATATAAAGGGAAATGGTTTTATTTAAAAAAAAAATTATGCCGGATGAAAGAGGTATATAAATAGTATATATCATAGAAAAAATAGTATTGATCCACAATTTTTTTAAAAAGTTATAGCATTATAAAATTAAAAATATAAAAAAGAATTTTTTTTATTTACTATGATGTTAGATTTCACCATGAAAACAAATTAAAGTTCGACTTTTTTTTTTTTCATAATAAAGTATATTGCATTAGCTTTAATTTAAGATATATATAAAAGTGTCAGACCTTCCGGAACATTTTCAAAAATAAAGTTAAAAAGTTCTACTTTCTATAAACATTTTAAAGTTTTTAACCCTCCCTGTATTAAGATAAGTGATCCGATTTGTTCATTTTTGAAAAAGTTATGGCAGTTTTAAGTAAAAAAAAATATCAAAAATTAGCGATTTTTAAATTTGTAATTTTTTTGGAGGTTCCCCCATTTACGGAGAACGAGGAAAATTTTTTCAATTTTTGAGAGTAATGTCTTCGACTAGATACGATTTGTAATCTTTTGACGTATCGTTGAAAGAAATCGGTTTGGTGAAAGCTGAGAATCAATGGTAATAGACACAAAAAAAAACACATCATAGTAAAACTAATACCTTCTCAGCTTCGCATTGAAGCTAAAAGAGAACCCACTCATATAAAAGATTATATTCAAATCAATTTTTAACATGTCTGGAAGATCTATCAACTTTTAAACTTTATCAAAAAGAAGTTCATGATATTCACTACAAAATTTAAAAAAATTGGCTAGAAAGATTCAACTAAAATAAATTCAACTTTCTTTGACGCATGCATCATCATAATCAGTCCATTGTGAGCTAAAAATTTTCATGAATAGACACAAAAAAAATGTTAAAACCAATATCAAAGCTAAAAAACTAGCATAGATTACAATTTTACAGTGATTAAATCTGTCAATATAAAATATTATGAAGCAAATGTATACAAACAAAGTTAGATTATCCATATCTACATTGTCAGTGAATATTTTCAGGATAATTCGCACATTCTATCAAAATTCTATAAGTGCTGAAATTATTTTTCATTTTCCACTAGAATTTTGAAATTTTTACGACTTTTTGTAGTTACTTAAGTATAGAATTTCAAAACGAAGAAATCTAAACATCTTTGGAACTCTTATATGTACGCGTATATTGCATAAAAAGGTAGACATAATTTTTTTAAAAATTGACTTAATTTAATTTAATCTAATTTAATTTAATCTAATTTAATTTATATTACCTTCTATTAAACAAATAATTTATAAAATAGTCATATAAAATATAATTTTTTTCGTATATTTGTTACTTTATGTAATCAAACTCCATATATCCAATAGTTAATATAAACATTTTAAAAATAATATTTTTTATTAAAATGAAATATTTTAAGAAATTTTTGTAAAGTATTTCACATAAATGAATTTCATGAAATTTAAAACTTTATTCTAAAGGAACAAAATATAAATATTGTTTATAAAAGTATTAATTAAAATACTTACTGCATATTATTCGACCACAGCAAGTATTGTTTTTGGGATCGCTAATTCGTTGGCAGCCAATTTTTACAGCTGGACAGTTTTCTTGGCAAACTATTTTTCCTTCAAAACAGACACATATATTGCAAGCACTAGGATCAGTTAACAATTCACCATGTTTATGCTTTTTACCATTTGATAAACACCAATCTAGAATAAATAATTAATAATAATATCAAAATTATAATGATTTTTAAATAATTACTTTGAAAAATAAATTTATAGTAAAAATATTGAATAACATGAATACTATATAATTTAATAATTTAACAAATTTCATTTAATCTGAAAAATTCTATGATAATTGTGCACAAAACATTAAATATCAATATTATCTAAAATAAATTATCCATAACAGTGAAAGAAAATTATTCTGGAAAAAATAGTCAAATTTCATACAAATTAGAATTAAGTGGAACAGAAGCCTTATTTGCGGGAAAGAAAAACAAATAATAAACTTTTTTTCTACTTATTGCATTTTTTAGAACTTTGCACAATATTAAGTAGGTCGCAAAAAATGTTGTAAATTTATCCTCTATTGACTCAAATTATTATTTAAAACGATTTTTATTATTGCTGTTTGAATTTTTTTTTTTTTTTTGCATCAATTTTAAGCTAATTAGTCTTTTTGATTTTGAATTTTCGAAAATACAAATAATTTTTTATTAACTATGGCTTAATAAATATACTTCTAGTAATAAATCATTTTTTAAAGGATTTTTTAAATTATTATATTTGTAGACGGATTATTAACACATTATTTGTTAGCAGAGTTGTATTATCCATTAAGCACTAAATACACTGTGTTAGGTCTACGGGCATATTTTGAAAACCTTTTTCTTTATTCATTACTTAATTGAAGTGCTTATTTTGTCTACGAACTTTGTTTTCAATGAGTGCCTAGCCTACAAATAGCTTAATTCCTGCCTCGAATATTATGCTATGAGAAGAATACATATGTGTTTAAAAAGCTATATTGTTAATTTGTTATTTAATAAAAATGTATAAAATTACATTGTTATTTTTTGTACCTGATTCTAATGCAATGTTCTTATTAGCTTCTTCTGGTTGAATTGTTGTTGTTTTAATTAATAATTCCGCTTTAGAAGTAGAAATGTTGATTATGGGTTGTTTGTTATGCACGTATTCCCCACTATGTAAAGATTCTTTTGGAATAAAACCTCCTGGGTAAAAAAATGAATTATTAAATTTCGCAAAGTCTTATTAGATATTTTTTATAGTTACCTTCAGTCTCCATTGGTGGAGAAAAATTGATGACATCTAACGAAAACGAATCATCAGTATCTGATACATTGTGTACTATACGTTTAATTGGTTCAATGATTGTTGCTGTCGTTACAATAGGATTGTCCACAACAGCATCTGCTGCGACAAATGGTATTATCCTATTTAAATAAAGCTCATTAGTGTGCAAAATTTCACTTATAATAACCTAGTGCGTGAAATAGACTTTTATCGCATTTATCTGATCTATAATATTATTATACTTAAATGAAGTTTTTTTTTAATAAATTTATAATGTTTAATTCAAGTCTGGCATAGAAAAGCTTGAACTTGTAAAACACCCCACAAGAGGAAGTAGAAACTCCTCAAAATTTTTACAGTAATCCAAAATACTGTTTCATCATCATTTACACTAAGCGTATATTGGCTTTATTGTTCCTTAAAGACCTAAGAATTTCACCTCGAGGTAACTCGTATTGCACTATGGACGGCTTTATCAAACGATTTAATAATTTTGATTTTTTAAATTTATAAATAATTTTCAAAAATTGATAATTTTTATAAATTATTAAATTATTTTAATTTACTTGAGATTGGGTAAGGATGGTGGTAACCCAGCTTCGTCGTAATCAGATTCCACATTGCCTGACTTTTGTGTAATATTAAAATCATTCATAGGATTATCGTCGCCGTTTCTCGATTCTGGTGAATATAATGATGGCAAAGCGAATTCTGTTACATTGACCTGTTCAAAATTGGGAATATTTGTAGTTTGAATTCCTATAGCATCTAACACCTATTAACAACTCAGCATGAAAATGATTTCCAAAGTTGAAATTTTCATAATAACAAGTGTCTTAAAATTTAAGTAATTAACAGCTTTTAACATAAAGTTTAAAAATTAAAAAAAATGTATTATTGACATATTTTGTAGTAATTGAATGTTTTCATTTTTTTGTTGTGTTTTTAATTTATTATATTTTTTGTGCTCTTTTGAATCGTCTATTTTAGTGAAGCGATTTAGACCATAGAAAATTTTTTTATGATCTTATTTGTTATTAATTTGTATTAATAAATTTCTGAAATTTATGTTACTGACTTTAGTAACATGTTTTTCCAAACATCATATATAAATTAATTTGATAGACCTACTGATGAACTAGTTGTGTGTTGCAATAGCGGAGATTTTGGATGTGTTAAAGTTGATGAGCTGTTGGACAAGTAATCGATAGGTGTACTGCTTGGAGGTGATGAAACGATTTTTATATTGATATTGGAATCTGAAAAATTAATTTTATCGAGGTTATTTATATGAAAAACAAAATAAAAATAAAGAGGAGTATAAGTAGGCAACAAAAACGTTTTCAAAGAAGTCAGTGACCCTGCGGTGGGCGCTTAAAAAGAACATGTATAATACCGTTCTTATTGTTGCCAGTGCAGTTGTAGCTGGTCGGGCAACAGTGTCCTTCCGTATAGACCGGTCCACAGTTAGGCGATATTTGGGTGCGGATCGGCGGACAAATTACCTTGTCACATCGCACTTGACCGTTGATGCAAAAACAAGTTTCGCAAGAAGACCTAGCCACGCCAATTACGGGCTCTCCCAGAGAAATTAGTCTACCGTTTATGTGACAATCTATAAGAATAAATTTGTTCTTTACACGAGTACTTTATAGTATGGTCCTTACAACCTTTAATAGCTTAAATGTTGTTTCTATGATTACTATATTAAAATTTTTTAGAAAGAAAAAGAAACATAATTTTGTAATTAAATAAATATTTATTGATTAATCAACCTTCATTTTTAAGTAAATTTAAAAACTTTTACAAAGAAACTTTTTTAAACTAAAATTTTTGTGTAAATAGTAATGCAAAGTATTTTTTCAGTTATATTTTATCAACTTACATCAATCATGAAAACAATAAAACATAGTTATTAATAAGTAATATAAATATAATGTTTAAATAGTGTTGATTTAATGTATTTCATATAAATGTTTAATCTATAAGTTGGTACTCACCTTTTATTCTTGATGATAACGATGAAGGAATATAAGTTTCAAATGTAATATTTGTGATATTATTTTCCGTTAATTCAGTATGTAGGTACGGACCTGTAAAATAATACGTTTTAAAATGTTAAGCATTTTTTTCAATTCCTTGAATCCTAACGCAAACAATATTTTAGCTTTGATGCGAAGCCGAAACTACAAAATATGTGAATTCATCAATATGTTTAATAATTTGCTGTACTTAATAATAAAATAATCAGTGAAGAGAAAGTTCATATTAAAAGAGAACTAGTTCAAGTTAAATTTCCTTAGGTAAAATATGAATTAATTTAATTTAAATTTCATTACAGTAACTTTTCTTTTAAAGTTAATTGCAAAACTAAAATAATAAAAAAATTAAAACATTCTTTAAAATAAAATGTATACATTTTATTATGCAAGGTTTGGAAAATTTGTCTAAAAATCGAATATATATTAACTATCTCATTTAATGAGCTTAAAAACAAATGCATTTAAATTCATCATACATTTTTTTAAGAAAAATGCATTTATATTCACTCTTGCTAAAAAAGAATGCAATTATAATAGCATTCATTAACACATTTTTTATAAAACTGATATTGAATTTGATAAATATTGACGCATGTTGAGGGCATTCTTTAAATTTCCAGAAAAACTAAACATTAAATATAAAAAAAATGTACATACAGAAGGAGAATTTAAAAAAATCACGTAAGCCTTTTAGATATATATGTTGTAATTAAAAAAGTAGAGTTATAATACCATTGTAAGGTACAAATGTATAATAAATGTAAATAATAGCTATATAATTAAGGTATAATAAAATACTATATGTATTATAAAAATCCTCCCTCAAAAAAAAAAAAAAATGTTTAGCATAACTTTTATTTTGTAAATAATAAATGGTATTTTGTTAAATAAATTGATACTTATGTTGTTAGAGAATACATATTATTTTTATTAACATTTAAAATAATCTATTTTTATAACTGTTCGACAAATGTGTTTTTGCAATCAATTTCAATTCACATTTATATGTAAAATAAAATAATTTACTTTCATTACTCGTAGTATAAAAATTAAATTCACTCATGAATTCATTCATTTTTTAATGAATGAATTCGTACAAGTGTATTCAACCAAATCCTGTTTTTGTGACTATGGTATTAACCACGATCTTACAAACAAGAAAATTATTGTTACCGCTCAAGAACATAAAATTATCTTTAAAAATTTTCATTGACTTTAAATGTTTTATAATTATTTTAATATAAACTGAATTGATGGAAACCAGACAAATGAACATTACAATAAACGAACCATAAACGCTCACGATCATACAAAATAAAAACTAAATTGTTCAAGATAATTTTCTAATATTTCTAACACATTCCAGTATAGTTCATGAAAAATTACCACGTTCATATGAGCGCATTCACTTGAATGCGTTTTTCTTACTCACTCAAATTCACAACTTAATTAATTTCTTAGTAAATATTTTATCTTCAACTATAAGATACGTGTTTTAATGGAATCAGAACTTTAAAGAAGATACTTTTTTTGATTTTAATTTTTTTTAAATAACAATAATTTTATGACAACTATTTGTTCATTTAAATAAAGTCGAATGTTCGGTTAAAATTCACTTACAATTATATCTAACTGGACAACATGTATGCTTGTTATAAATAGCTGTACAGCCCGGCACGACTAAAGAACATCGAGGACTAACACAGTGTTGTTGTCCTTTGAAACAATAACAATACTCGCAAATACTTGAGCTGTCCATAGCTGAGCCTTCAGCGTAAATTGTACCGTTTATCGTACATCCTTACATAAAAAAAAAACAAAGTTATCCAATGAATTCCAAAAACAAACCAACAAAGACTCTTTAAATACCTCTAGATAAACTTTCATCAACCATCATAATTTCAGAATTTTCCATCCTTGCTGGTCCAGTTCGAGATTCAATTTTGAATAATTTCGAATTAATGTGTCCAAAAATGTCTACAAAATGTTTTAATATTATTAAAATTATTTATTTTAAATCAAATATATAAAAATACTATATTTGTCAACTTTTTTTATTTCACCTAGGGAAATGTTTAATTTTAAATTTAATGTAAAAATAAATCTTAAAATATATAATATTATTATTCAAAAAAAAATGTTGTTTGTTTTATTTATTGCTATTTATATAATGGATCTAATTAATTTAAAATAATTATAATTTTTAAATAAGATTTCGCAACTTTTTTTTTAATGGTTTTACTACACTCAATCAATATTTAACTATTAGATGGAAAGACTAACGGGATTTGTTTTTGGGTGTGTCGCTTTTGGAAGGTCACATTTGAAGAAGTTTTACATATAGTTAAGGCGTATATAGAAATAATTCATATTAAGTCAACATGCTTGTCCGAATTCTCTATTTATTTGACTGTTGCTATGTGAAATACTATTATAAAAAATGATTTCAACAATCATATCTGTATCACTTTGCTTGAAAAATTGTAATTTTAAACATTACTCAAAATGATTCCAACTTTGAATATGGTACTATAGGGAAATAAATACTATAATCTGAATTTATTTAATCATTGAGTACAACTGGTGGTATAAGAGTTTATTTTTATATAATACTTAAAATGTGATTGCAGTTCTATTAGAAACAGACTACTTTTGGGAGTATATGAGTTATTTTGATTACCCACGTGCGCCACGTTTAGACCGGTTCTAAAAAACGACCTTTTACAAACGCTATATTTTGGCGATGTAGATGTCAGCAACAACTAAATTCTTATTGATTGATTTGTTAGAAAAGCATAATCGCCTAAGGCTGACCTCTCGTGTGGACAGCATTTATCTAGAGTTTTAAGCGTAAGCAATTATTAAAATATTTCTAATTGCACGATTTAAAAAACGGCACTGCATTATGCATAAAATTATTAATTTAATCACGTTTCTTAACGGTTTTCATATTGACGGATTTTAAATACGAGCCGTTGTTATTCGTATCTTCTCTCGCTCGAAGAACAAGTTATTTATATTTAAAAAATAATAAATTATGTGGTATGATTTAATCAAAACATGGTAAACATATATCAATGAATAAAATTATAATTTTGTAAAAATATTTGACAACTATTACGTTAATAAAAATACCAAGTAACTACATTTTTCATATATTTCGGGATAAAAAATGATTTTTACTATCCTAAATTTATTTATATAATGTAGTATAATCAACATCTTTGAAGGAAAAATAACTGGGAAGAAACCAAGAGGACGCCTAAGGAAACAATATTTTGAAAATATCCTGGAACTCATGTACTGTGCGTCTTTTGTTTCTCTGAAAAATTTGGCGTCAGACAGAGAAGAGTGGCTTCAACGACAAGGCATTGCCTTTTAGAGATGATGAGGAAGTTAGTATTCTACGTTTAATAAGTTTTACTTTTAAAATATTTTTGAAAATATATAAATTAATCAAATCTACACTAAAACTAATTTTTGTTATACATGTATAATCACACTTAATAATCAGATACTCTTTAGCATATCACACATCAACACAATACGACCACTTATCAAAAATATCCATTTCCAGATAAACAACTTCAAAGTTTCGACCCCCAATAAAATTTAAAATGTGCTTTACTATATTTTTAAAAAAATTTTATATATTGAAGTCCATTTTTATGACTAAATTGAAAATAATAGATCAAATTTAATTATATAAAAAAGTAAAAAAATTATAAATTTCGATCTTTGACCTTTTAATTTCGACGGTGATTTATGAGGCGCTTGAAATGCAAAGAGAATAAATTATACCGTTATTTAGATTTAAATTAAAAGTACAGTTAGCAAAAAAAATTTTAGTTCTACTTGTTAGTTAAAATTTTATGAAAAATGATAAAAGGAACACATAAATTATGATATTTAATACATATCACGATTAAAAATATATTAGTGATATATTATATTTTCACACGGTGTAACATAAAATATGAAAACATTGAACTCAATTTTCTCGAAATTAAAAAAAACGTCCCTTGTATTCAAAGTACCTCTTATATTATAAATTAGAAGTAAAACTATTATCACAATATGTTTCAATAAGCTTTATTTATTTACATTTGCAACTAATAAAACGAGAATTGGTTTTATCATAATGCTTTTTTTTTGTGTGTCTGTCCATGAAAATTTCAGTTCATTGAGGACTGATTTTGTTGTTTTATCTGTCTATTATGACGAATACCCGCTATTCTAAATACAACTGTACTTGGATTTTTAATTTCTACTTTTAAATTTTTTTCGCTTTTTACGATTTATTGAGGGTGATTGTGTCCCCCTGAAAAAAGTATTTTAACCTTGTATATTCCAGGATGGATGGTAAGTCCATTACCAGAGAGAAGGATGGCACTCCAATCACTTTTTCAGCAAACGTAGACGCTCATAACCGAGTTTCGAACCCGACACAGTGCGCATTATGCACTTGCAAGATATTGACTCGGCCACCCGAGTCAATTGTCCTTTATTTTACATACATACTTTTAACATTAAGTAGTTGAAATATGATTACTTACACTAAAGATCTAGTAAAAAAATGTCAAAAAGGCATTAATCAATATAATACTTTTATAAACACATGATGTATAATAAATTACTAAATCTCAACATTTTTATGATATGAATTTGTTTTGAATTTTCTATACATTTTTATTTTAAAGAAAGTGGAACATCTAATCAATAACTATTAATCAAATATTTTTTTCTATTCTTAATGAAATAAAAACAACATTTTTCTGAAGATATATATATATATATAAATTTACCGTAAAAGCATTGTAAATGTGCACAACATTTATTCTTTTTGTGAACAATCACGCATCCTTGTGGTGGTGGGTCAGGTAATTCTGGACACACTTGAAGATGACATACTAAATTTCCTATGTTACAAGTACATTTTAAGCATGGTTGATCTGTATTTACTATAGATCCTTGTTCATATTTTCGTCCTTTGTACTTACATTTTGGAGATGATAATTCTATATAAAAATACAATTCAGTATTAAATAAATTTATGTTTACAATGTTCAATTTAAATAAAGTTAATTAAAGTGACTGAATAAATTGTTATTAATATTATTTTTGTTTTGTTACAATAAATACAATATTTAAATATATTCATTATATTATTGCATTTTGAATATATAATTAGGCTTAAAAGTAAACTACAAATGAAAACTTAGAAATTTTAATTTGCATGTTACAATTTTTTTTTATTGGCAACGTCCTATTTAACTATTTTAGAAAATAATTTTAAATATAACAATATAAAATTGAGGAATATTGTCAATAGAGATTTCTTCCTGCTCAGATATTAAATATAAATTGTTAATAACTATCGAATTACTAATTCGTCAGTTTGTTACCGAACCGTCATTAATTAGATTGTTTTCTATTTTATAAACTAGTTAAATATGTTGACAATTAGAAAAATTAATTTGACTCCTCTATAAACTATAAGGGATATAACAATAATGTATATGTAACTTAAAATTACATTGTTTTTTATAATATTGCATCTATTTTACGAATAATTGAGTGGGTTATGATAAACAGATCAACTTGTATAAATTTAGTATTAATGTTTATATTTTAATGAGGGCCAAGATCTCTAGACTCCCCCCCAGATTGCCTATGAGTATTACATAGTAATTATTATTAAAATCTAGATGTTAAACCATCGCTAGAGTCCTTAAAAGGGTCTATGATTTATAACTGTCTTGTGAGAAACACATCTCATTTTATAACTTTTCACACAACAATCAAAACATAATTAACAAAATAATTTAATACTTAAACTAAAAGTAATGAAATCTTAACGGTGTTTTTCTTTACTTAAAATGTTTCCTAAGTGATAAAAAAAACGCTTATTATGGTTTAATTAATGTTATACAGTTAGTTCCTTAAACTAAAATTATTATTTATTTTAGTAGTATGTTTTAAAAATAGTACAAAATAAGTATAGATATTTATAAAAGAATATCATATTCAAAAAAACATAAAATATCTTAACTCAAATTTATAGATTAAACTACTGAAAAACAGAAAATTCTGTAAGCTATAAAGGGAATATGTTCACATAGACTCCACACTGTGCGACACCAAAAATATTATTGTTGAGTAGTCTGTACCAAAATATTTTAAACTAAATATTTTTGAAAAATCATCATTTAATGACTTAGTTTTACTTTTTACTTAAAAAGCAATTATTTAATTTGAATAGTTAATTTATGAGTTTATAAAACTAAACATATTTACACATTTATGTGTAACTATTGTAACTATGTATGGTTATATTTCAAGATATGCACATTCAAAATTTTAAACGTTATTTTAAAAATCTTATTATTTTCAGAATAAATAACATCTGTATTTATTTGAATCTATTGAAAAATATGAACTTGTATCCTCAAAAACTATATTATACACAATTTATAATCTATTAAACAATTCTACAATAACTTTAATAGAATCAAGATTATGTAAAATACACAAAATATTAAAGTACAGTAATACTCTTGATGTCTCATATTAAATTTTACAAGATTAAATGTTAAGTTTCAATTTCTTTATTACCTACTATAAGATATATTAAAGAAAAAAATTATGTGTGAGAGACTTCTCACATTTCTTGTTAGATTTTTTGAAAAATAAAATACATGCATGCATGAGTAAGTTTCCTACAATTCATAATTACATTTTTAAGCAGCATACGTATGTTTGTAGTGTGTTCATAAAGAAATTACCGCCAGTGTTTACCGTGAGAAAATGAACACATATAAAATACGCGAACTTGCATCTTTTATAGTTTTGATTTACTCCGAGCGTGAGGACCTGAATAGGTTATTAAGTTTAGATTTAATAGCTATTTTATTGTACTTCTTGATTTATAATATCCAATGTTTCCAATATCCCATTTCAATTAGCCAATCAAAGAAATTCAACTATATAAAAAAAACAATTGAATCGATATCTATGACCGAGTTCATCCACCGCTATGTTGTAATTATTGCAACTCTTAACCGCTTGTAAAAAAATCTTTTCAAAAAACAATATAATAATTTTCAATCGAAAAGACTTAAATTGCGGTTATATAAATTTTTTATATCAACCATTTAACTTTAATTTGATTAATTTTAAATTGTAAATTATAATTTAACGCTTTGTCACAATATTTTTACTTATGTTCTTTCATAATAAATACATTTCCTATAGACTTTCTACGTTTTGATGAATGTGAATAGTTTTGTGAGTTTGGATTCGAAATTTCAAACAAATATATATGATGAGATCGATATATAGCTGATTAAAGACGTCAGCTATTATTGTATTTAATTATGGCGGTAAAGATTTTTCTAAAGAAGTCGAGAAATGAAGAAAAAAATAACATTCCCTACGTGTTAATTATTTAAAGTAAATCATGTTCCATGACAGTCATTAACTAATTGACCGGGTAAGACTGATAGGGCAGTCTTTTCTTAAGAAAAATGTTGCCGATCAGATGTTTACTTTATCTACCTATATTACTTAAAACCGTTTCTTTTTTTCATTGATCTTTTTTCCCTTATGCCATTTCTTCTAATATTTCTGACGAGTTTCCGTTGCTTTCTTTCGCTATTTTAATGGAAAAACGGTATCTGCCAACAGTTGAACGGCCAATAATAATCGACCATGAACTTTAAGCGTAATTGTAGAACAATACGTAATAATTTCAAGAGTTATTGTAATAAAATTCATGTCCTTGTACGTATATTATCAAAGTATTGCTTTTTTTTTTAATTTAAAAGCATTGTTAGTTATTTATACATAGGAATATAATTCAGCTATTTTTATTAAAGAACATAATAAGTATGTAAGAAATAACTAGTAAGTACTTTCAGATACGTCTATCGTGATACAAACTATAAAAATATCAAATAGCTTATTGCAATTATTCTTTTATAGTATTGTTGTACGCGGATAAATTTTTTATATTTTTTTTAAGTTAATGAAACAAAAAGTTTTAAATATCAATACAAATATGTCAACTGTGAAATTAAAAATTAATTATTATCAAATGTATAACTAGAACATTTTGCAGAAAAATTCTGTCCAACTAGCTTAACCCCTTAAGAAAAAAGAAAAATAATAATAATAATTATTAAAGTAGAAAAATGTTCTTTAATTATGATACATTATAATTTAATTATAACAGTATTCAAAATTGTTTTTAGATACTTTTTGCATTTTATTCGTTTATTTTATTTTTAATTAATACTTTTTATCATTTGAATATTGTTTTAAACATTAAAATATTAAATTTTATACCTATTAAAGAGTGTAACATTCTAACTATCTGACTTAAATATTAAAAATAAATGCATCTAAAACTTTAAAAATAAATTATTATAAAATTATATTGAAATAAAAGAGGCACATTGAAAATTGTTAATGATATATTACCAGTAAAATTAGCACTTTCAGTGTTAAACAGATCTTTAGTAGATATTTGAAAAGTGGGTGCGACTGATTGGCTAGTCCCAAATGGCCCGTTCAATAGGACTAGAAATGTAACCATACACAGACAAACCATCGTACAAATAGCAGTAACTTATAACCATACGACCGCGTGGTCAAGCACAGACTGTTCTTGCACACCATCGGCCACGCGGTGCCTTCATATCAGAAAATTAACGGACGATTTTTAGCGGTTCTTTCTTTGTCGCTGCCATATGTAGTCCCAATTATAATAAGACAATAAGATGACATCGTCAAAGATCACAGAGAATATTTCGGAACGCATTTTAATAGCTTCGTGTGCAGTCATTAGATAAAATTACCAGAATATTTTCAAATATCTTTAGAAAAGAATAAAACATAATCTTTTTTTTATTAAATTTAAGATTTGTAATTAAGCTTTAGGTATTAATTAAACTAAATTACATTTGCGACGTCAAAAATATGAATCATTACATAAATACATATAATAATATATATATACATAAATAGATAAACTAATATAAACAGTTAGTATTATGAGAAATATAAATATTTTATAACAATTTTCGACAATTGGCATCATTAGGTACACAATTAAATTAAATAAAATATTTAAACATCAAAGTAATCAATCACGTAGAAATATCGCAAAAGATAATAAATTTAAAAAGTATAAAAATACATCAGCTTTTGTTTAAAAATGAAAATTTGCTATACGGGTGGAACAGGTCTAACCGACCACTAGTAAAAAAAGACTAAATAGCAATTCAACAATTTTGAAAAAAAAAACGAATTTTTTTGTATTTTTAATCATTTTTATCAATTTGATTAACTAGTCAGTAGTGTTTCTATATTTTTTAATATAGAATCTAATAACACCACTGAAGAGACTTTAGACTATCTTCTTATACCAAAAACCCATATACAGGGTGGCCCACCACTCACTGACAACTTAAATAACTTTTGATCCAGTTAATATTTTTAGCTGATTTTTTTTTTAAATA